TCCCTCCTCTTTAAAATGCTAAACTTTATTAGAAAAATAAAATAAAATAAAAGATGCATGTTTCTGTGATGTGCATCTGTAATTCCAATCAAAGAGAAATTCATTCCACTGAGACTAAGGCCTGACTTGTTGTTTTTTGGCGTTGATTCAGTGGAATAGCCCGTTGGTTGGAAAGGGTGGACTCTCCAGGACGCTTTGTGGGGAGAGGAGATTCATAGGTCAGGAATCTTCAGCAGTTGGGTGTTTGTGCTGAAATCTGGGGAAATGGATTTTTCCAGCTGTGTGGAGTCAAGCAGTTAGCCTGTATCACCTGGGGTAGCCTCCTCCACCAGATATGGGGCTGTAGATACCCAGAATTGAACCTGCAACCTTCCATTGTCTCCCACTGACTCAGCTCCACATAGAAAAGATTCCTCCACCCTGCTTTTTTAACACACACAAATGCTAAGAGAAACTAGCTTGGACTTTGGAAGGAGGTGGCATCAGTATGCTGATGGCAAACTGCTTGCTTTGTGTTTGGCCTGGAATCAGTGTCTGAGATCAGTAAGGGGTTGGGAGAGAGCCAGTCAACTAACTGAGCTGATTGTGCAGTAAAATGGTGTCCAGTCTGTTCTCCTTTCCTCCTAAATGAATCGTCTTCAACTGGATGCTCTCCTGATGTGTTGGATTAGAACTTGCATCAACTGACGCCATTGAGATCAAGCCTGTGATCTGATCTAGCTTTGATAATGAAGCCCTTGGTAACTTCTGCAGTGTGCTGGCTACGACTTCTCCTGGGCTGTCTACAAACATTTTGGATGGGCCAGTCAGAATGGGGAGCCAGACGTTGCTGAATAATGTCCAGTGGTGAGGGGTGCTGGGAAATGTAGTTCAGCAACATTGGGAAGGCCACGAGTTTCTCATTCTTGGATGGGATCCTAGAGATGTGAGGCTAGCTTTGTCCAGAGACTTGAATTACTTCAAAATATGGCCTCCAAGTTACTTAATGATACTTATTAAAAGTACTCCATTGGCTTTAAACTTGTGGGGGGCTCTTCCATATTTTTCCATAAGGGAATGAAATTTCTGTGTCACACTCAAATTATCTTTTAAAAGCATTTACAAGCTCTTCGAATTTTGGAGCCCTTTTCATCCCTTCCTGTATAGCCTTTCCAGCATTGTACCAAGACACTGAAGAGGCTTCTGTGCATATTATTTCTAAAGTATCCGTTCTGCAACTTGCTTCCTTTTCTGCCAATGCTTGAAATTAATCAAGCATCATGTTGTTTGAAGGTACCCATGAGATCTTTCTTTACCTAACCTGGTTAGGTGTATTGTGTATACACAGCAACCAAGTGCCAGTGGTGTGGCATGGCTTCCCTGGGATTGTATGATGTGACTTCCATATTTTAGTTGGCGCATCCGTGTATAGAAAAAAAAGGCTGTTGTTATTTCTTGGGTTGCTTGAGAGAAAATTTAGTAAAATTAATTCAATTAACTTTTCTTTAATCATCAGTCTCATGGCACCTGAAAGATGATGAGATTGCTCTGTATGCAGGCAGGCAGGAAAAAATGCAGAATGCAAGACTGGGCAATGAATTCCTCAGTGTTTGGCTTCAGTCATGTCTGAAGGGCATGTTTCTAGTCCTTAGTGTGGGTTTGAATGTGTGTGGAAGAGGCCTTTAGAAACGGCAGAAGTTTCTAATATTCAGATGCTGTTCTTTATATTTCCTTACATCTAGCCAATAAATAAATAAATAAATAAAGAGACTGTACAGGTCAGCAATAAAGCAGTGTTTGGATGTACATTTACAGCTAGACAGTGTATAGGTCTGGACATGCACATGAGCAGATTTAATGTACGGTATCTTCCTATGTTTGTAAATGCAGAACAGAAATGCATGCAGAAGTCAGACATTGGAGAGTACTATCTTTATTGTTTTTATATATGCCTCGATATGATCCTGATCTATCTCTGTATACTGTGTATACTAAAGCAGTGAAAGAAATAGTGGAATTATATTGGTCCTGTTATCCACAGAGAACAAACTGACTTGTAGGACTGTCGGCTTTATTTGCAGAACTGGTGTGATGCTTTGCCTCACTCCCATCTCCTCCAGGACATATCTGCAAATAAGTTACTGTATTTGATACTTGATCTCAGTCTTTCCCCAAATACTTAGATCCTATTTTTCTTTCTCCACCTTTTTTTTTTTGGTCAATTTGATGAAAGAGAAAGGAAGAAGGCATTGGTGGTTATACAGAACTACTGTACTATATGATTAGCCAGTTACTGGTTTGTTATTTTTTATGTGTCTAGCGCAGTTCATTTCTGCTCTATCATGAAAACTAACCCCCTTGCCATTTTTAAAATGGATGAACTCATTCACTGAGGTCATTGCTAGAATAGAGATGATGAGCTGTTACTTTATAAAGTTTTCCAAGTTCATACATGAAATATTTGTAGCCTACATTGCCTTTATAACTTTATTTCCTTTTGAGAAATTTGTTCTGTCTTGTCTAATGAAAAAAAAAATGCTGTTCTCCTGCAGTTGAGCTTCGAATTGCAGTTTTAGAACTGTGGTTGAATTCAGGCTTCATCTCTTGGGATGCAGAGAGAGAGCGCTTTATTTTAGAAATGTTGTCCTGTGACTGGATGGGTTATTTTTCTTGCCTAGATTCTAGCTACAGTATGTCACTTGATGTCCATTTGCATCATTAGTTGGCCAGAATTAGTAAAACTAAACCAAATTTCTGGGCCATGTTGATTTATGTTCCATCTAGAAAGTTGCCACTGTGGCAGGAATCCCTGATTTTTCTAATGAATCTTCTTTTATGTAAATTATAAAAAAACAAGACTTTGGTTAAAAAACAGGAGCTATATAAAAACCTTTGTTTTAAAAATAAATATATCCAGACCTTCATAGAGTGACTTTTGAACTGTTTTCCAGGAAACCCTGGGGCTTCTTGGAAGCTTATCAGCTGAACAGTGAGAATATTCCCTTAAAACTGTCTTGTCTAGCACTGCTGATATTCTCCTGGAATGTGCGGTTACAAAGAGGGTTGGCTTAAGATATTTGGAGGCCTCCAGCAGAATAGCAAATCACCCCTCACCCCCACAATCCACACTTCATACCAGGTGCACAATATCTGTGGCCAGTAACATTATTTTGGCATCTCAGGCAAAAGATTTTTTACTGCTTCTCAAGCAGTAAAAATGCAATCATCGCAAGCTAAATTTCTAGCAAACTGCTGCCCCATGTCAATGCACAGGAATGGTATTGCTCAAAAGGTGTGGCCAGAGAATTGCTTCTGAAAAAACATGGCTTTTATGGTGGTTTAGGATTGATTGAACATTGCTCAGGGATCCTTGGAAAATAAGCTGATGGGGCAAGGATTCAATGAAAGTGGAAAACGAGAAGACCCTTGCCAGTTTTCAACTTAAGTAG